TAAATTCATTAACACCGTAAGCCATAAACTGGTTTATTGTCCAATTTATCTTCTCAACATTTGAAAATGATATAATTTAGCCCTTCTTGTTAACATTAGATAACTTTAACTATTAGTTTATTAAAAAGTGACAGAAAATAATATAAAAATTATAAAAAAATGACCCAATAATTATAAAAAGGGACAAAAATTGATTATTTTCTGCCATTTTTTTATTCGATTAACAATTAAAGTTAGTTTTTATTAATGGCTAGGATAAGATTGCATAGTTTTTAAAAATTAAAAGAATAATTTGTACGCCTATGATTTTATTAGACATGTTGACATAAAATTTAAAAAATAATTTGCTCATTTACCAACAATATATCACTTCTGTTTTTTTTTTTTCATTCAATCCTTTTTCTGTTTCATTTAAACAAATTGAGGCATCTATCTTTTCTTCTGAATTATTACTACCAATACTCCTACTATTATTCAGCATGCTCCATTATTGATTATTGAGAGGATTTCAATTGTGATATTGATTTTTTTCAATTAGTGTAATTAATCTGACCTTTGCAACCGGCGAGTACACGAGGGCCCAGCTCATGTCACGTAGAGGAATTTTTATAGGATAAGACCCACGTATTAAAAATAATTTTTAAAATATAAATCTCAAATTTGAAAAATATAATTAATTAATTACAAGGAATACTTTCTTAAATAAAAACAAAATAGGCAAGCAGGAGAAAAATATTCTTCTGCCATCAAAAAAGAAAAATATTCTTTCAATTTTTTTATAGTATGAAAGTATCGAGGGTTTGGATTTGTGTGCGGTAGATTTTATACATAACTACATTTCTTATGTTTTTTATATTTACTTTGTGAATGGATTCAACAACATTCTTAATGTGGGGGAAGTTAATTATCATTAGCAAAAGGAAGAGACAAAACCAAAAAATTAAAAAAGAAACAAACAAACAAACATACTATCATGCAGACAATTAATTTATGAATAAATAATTAGTGCCGATTTTGCAATATTTAGTTGATAATTTTATCTGGCAAAAAAGATTGATAATTTTAGAATATCCATCGATCATGAGGCACGATTAGAATCATTTGGGTTCCAAGCTATTACATTACGCAGATGCATTATTTAGTTAGTGTTCACATATAAATAAAGTAATTAATCACCAAATCTTATCCTCTTAACCCAGAAATCATCAAAAAGGTCGGCAGGTGGTCCCCAAAGCTAACACTTTCTTTTGTTCCTTTCTTCCCCTTCACTTTAAGTTTCCCTTTTAAACACTCTCAAGTCTTATCCTTATTCTCAATTCTTGATTATCTATACATACAATACTCATCAAAATTACCAGCAAATATGCACGCATGTCAGAATCGTCACATCTAAAATGAGTCTTGACACGTGCGTGTTTGCGTCTAAATTAAAATTACAATCACTAGCGAAAATTTTAGAATCTGAAAGCTTTTTGAATAAATAAATATAACAGAACATAGAATACGATGCATGCGTAATTTTACCCTGCGTGTATATAAAAGGAAGTCCAATAACAATCGCAAAAACCCAATTTTAATTATAACCTGTGCAAATGTATATGATTTTTTGCATGATTGTCAAGGATCTATATATATGTATAGGAGACACGTGTCTCTCCGACCAGAATGATTCTTGGGCGACAATATTTAGGAACAAGACAAAAAACGAGGGAATAAAATTCCATCGGATGACCATGACACAGCAATGATCCGACAGTGTAATTTCAAATTTATTTTTTATGGGCGCATCAATATTATTTTTAATAGCTATCCAGAAGATAAAAAATTGAAGGATGTGTCAAAAAACTGAAGGACATAGAACAAATATCCAAAACATAAATGAATTCGGGTTAGCAAGAGTCATGCCAAAGCTGGGCGTAGATTCTTTCTAAAATGCACGACAAATGCACCTTTGAGGGAGAAAAAGAGGGAGAGAAGAGCGAACATCGAAAAAAGTTTTTCCCTAATCCACTCAAACAACCATTGCTATGAGTCTCTTATAAAATGAAAAATTTCAATCATCATAAATTTCTCTCGTAATGAAGAGAATTATTGTAATGAAAGACTCCCTCCATTTTAAATTATAGAACATTTTTAAGAAATTTTTTTATCTCAAAATATAAAATATTTTAAGTAGATTAAAGTTTTATTAAATACATCAATTTTAATATTATTCTTTCTCTCTCTATAATTAATTTTCATCACTTCTCTTTTCAATATATTTTTATTTTAAAAAGATAATATTATCAATAGTATTTAATGAAATTTATTGATACGTAAAATTTAGTCTAAAATATTTTATAATTTAAAATAAGGAGAGTATTTCACATTAATAATGTAGAGATAAACTTCCTAAATTAGATTCAATTAGTAATTAATTCAAAATGAATTCTTGATTTTTGATCAAATTTCATTAAACTGGAATATACAGAATTGTTACTCATTAATTTGATGTAATTAGCCGGTTCCCACTAAGGACGGTTGCGTAATTCCAACAAAAACAAAATCTTACCAAATTATTGAATTACCAGAATGAATAACTATGCCACAATTACCAAATAGATTATCGTGATGAGTTTCTCGGGGGCTCCCACGACTGAACTTTGGGTCCCCATGATTGATTGATACGATACGATACGAGAGCCACGAAAGGTGCGTGTTGTAGTTACAGCTGTAGAAAATGCAACCAATCTAACTTCTAAAAGTGACCCTGATTTCGCATCTTCTAATTGATATACCAGAATTCAAGGGCCCCCCATCATTTATTTATTCAAGCTTCTTAGAAAATGCTAACAAGAATGAAACACATGGCACAACCACAAATTCAAACTTGATCAACTAAGAAAAGTCTGACAAACTCGATAATATAATTAAAATATCAAGCGCTCGTGGTTGATGTTGGAATTGTAAACCTACCCGAACGAATCGTCGTACGACTGCTTTTTATCATTAACGATAATCAGTCGGAGGGCGGTGATCATGTCGTTTAATCGTGTTGGGAACATCATCATATTGCTTGTAATTTCTCTGGGACTCAGCTTCTCTCCGCTTCTTCTATTCTTTACTTTTTCTTTATTTTATATCCCACTACTGAATTTATTTTTAAACGGTTAAAATTTAATATTTTATAAAATTATTATTATATTTATTTTTTTATTTAAAAAAAATCCAACGATTGAGATGGAAACTGGAGAAGAAGTGAAGAGGGGAGGTAGTGAAAAAAAGCCAAGTCTCTTTCTCTTTTATCAAATATCTGCGGCATTCTTTCCCATTACCGTCCATGAACATGCATGTGGTTTGAGATTAAATTGATCAAGCTGTCATCCTATTGAAAGATATTTTACCAATCTTTCAACCAAAGTAGGCTTTCAGATGTTGAGCCTTCGGAATAATCAGCAAATTTTCTTCTCAATTGCAACAAAGTCATAACTGACTCGTCATTCCATCTTCATTTCTTCTCAATTCTTTTTAGAGTCAACAAATTTGGTTGTACCTATCGCTCCTTTTTATTTTTTTCTTCGCCCAATTATTGTCCCATTCCTTTTTATTCTGTTTTTATGTAATACATTTTCCTTAACAACAACTCATTTAAAATTAATCAATAATTCATTCATATTTTAACAAATTAAAAAAAATATGAAAAATTTAATTGTACAAGTGTTAGTTATTTATCAACAAACATCTATTTACGTTTTGACAACAAACTATTTATGATTAACAATAATACATTTAAACTTTTAACAAGTTAGAAAAACTAACGAGATAAGTTTAATTATATGTGTTAGTTATTCATCAATAAATTTTATTTGTATTTTGACAACAACCCATTCATGATAAATGATAATACATTTGAATTTTTAACAATTAAAATGAATGAAGTTTTAAAACTCTCAATTTATAATTGATTATGTCAAATTAATATGTAACATTACTAAACTAACAAGTACCATTTAGGAATTAATAAAACACCATTATGTTATAATATGTAAGTGATTTAGAATTGGGTTGCTACTTATATTTTTCTTGCCATATATAATAAAATGGGTTTGGTGGTTCGATAACCACCTAACATTTTTTATGACTAAGGGGTTATAAGATCAAATCTCCATTGACAATTTTTATCAATTATCCTTGAATAAAAGTGTCATTGGTGCTAGAGCTCTAGTAACAATGTGGGTAACTTTTTTTTTTTATTTTAAATTTAGGTGGCAATATTTAGTGATTTTATGTAAAAAATTAATTTCATTCAAGAAGTAATAAAGTGTAGTGAAAATTTTAAATCTTTTAATCCTTGAATGGTATAAATTTCCTTTGGTGGTCCATGGTTGATATTTTCTCAAAAAAAAAATCACATAACAACATGTATTGCATCAAGAATTATATAGATGAGTTTTCCAATTTACATATCAGCGTGAATGTATAAATATAAAATTTACTCTATCTGACAAATTCTTGAGATTCTATGTGATCTAATATATTTTTCCAATTTTCTAATTGTCTTGCCGAAATCTAGGAGATGTAGTTAAATTATCCATGTAATATGAAAAGGATAAAGTTTTTCAATTTAAGCTTATTAAATTTTTATCTTTATAAAATATTTTCTCTTTCACGTGTAACACTTTACTAATAGAAAATTGTGAAACAATAAAATTGAAAGAAAGTAATTAACAAATTATCCTATTATACAAATGAATTATAAAAAATTATTATTTTTTGAGACACTATCATGTACTAAATATAAACATTTGTTCTACTGAGATTCCAAAATGATTTGTATATTAGACAAATTTTCTCCATGCTCGGAGCCTAGGATGGTGATTCCTTTTTTCTTTTTTTGGTTTTTTCAACGTTGTGTTTGACACAACTGAGCCCAGATGAAGCCCAACAATTGGGCCACGTAGCCCAATATATGTGGACAAAACGAAATGCTGAAAAAAAAAAAAGGGAACCAGGAAGGAAGAGTGTGTTGGCTTTCTCTCTTTCATGATGCTATCCGCCTCTGGCCGAGCCACCAGGGCCTTCGTACTCGTCAAATGTCCAACAGCTCTAAAATTCCCTGTTTGGAGCAGAACCCACTTTGACCCCCGACGAAGAAAATCGCGTTCAACGTTCTCTTCTGCTGCTCGTTCTCGCATGGGAGATGTAACTGAAGGGGCTATCACATTGCAGGAGTGGCAGGGATGGGGCACCACTTCCCCTTTGCCCTCCATGGTTATGGAGATCGTTGGGGATTTGAAGGCTTTAGAGAAAGAAGTTGACGCCAACATGAGCTTTGGTGGTGTTGGTGGGAAACTTCAGGTATTGCAATTGAAGCATTGCGATTATATACTTCTCCCTGATTTTCTCTTAGTGGATGCTATCTAAGTCTATTTCACATGAAGTTTCTACCAGTATGGATTTTGTAGCTTATTGTTTTTGGCCTTTCAGTAGGAGAACTAAAATTAGCGGTAATGAGTATGTCAGCTTAGGAAGACCCCACAACTTGGACTTATTTCATTGATGTTAGTCTCCACTAATTGAAAGGGTAATGCAGGATGGTATCTATTATCTTTGTTTTTCAGTATGACGTATTACTGAAACTCTGGGAGTGAAAAGGAAATATCAACTCTGTTTCAATTCAAGAATGCCTCCCTTTTGTGAATAACTTCTTACTTCTGGAAGCTCTGTTGTAATTCAGGGAAATATTGGAACTCAAGAAGATAAGAAACATCGAGCGACCTATCAAGCACTAGGTGATTCGGAAAAAAAGCTTCAATTCTACGCAGCTCGACAAATAGCATGTCGCTTGCTTGGAAGCAGGGGTTACCTATGTCAGAAGGTTTAAACGTGACAGTGGCTAGAACATGATATTGATGAATGATGATGCATCAAGCATCGTCCTTTTCTTTTTAAAATTTTCACTTACTGGCTATTTATTAATTGACGCAGTGCTGGCTTCCTATGGAGGATTGTATGTGTTCAAAAGTCACATCTCGTTCTTTGTGGCCTGGAATAAGATTTTGGTTGTATATGCATCCAAAGGTTTAACTATACCTGGTCATTTTCTTACCATTATCTTTTATGTTCATTTTTCTTAGAAACATTTACATTTTTGTCATCATTTGCAGGATTTCTTGCGACAAAACAACACTGGAAAGATATTGTGGCAAGTCTTTGGCGTTGAAGCAGCAACTTTGTGCCTTTTTGGTATTCCTGAACATGAAGAAATCATGTGGAATTCATTGAAACTGGCAGGTCTCTCAATTTGAAGTAATCATTGAACAATGCTTATGGTAGCTGTTTTATGATATAGTCAAATGATATGTTGAACTAATATTTGTTCATATACAATTTCTTGTGTCTAATATCTCTTGTGGTAGTAGGTTAAACTTGATTATTATATTCATTTGGATACAAGTAGGTGATTAAATTTTGTTGTTCTGCCTTGTCATTGTCCAACTCTGGTGATTTATGTTTAGTTGCTTTGGCGTTTGCTTTATTATCAATTCAGGAAAAGACAATGTTTGGTGCCTCTATCCCAACAAGAGTGCAGTAGTAAAATCAGTTCAAGATGCATTTCGTCAGGAACTAAATGGAAATTATGAAGTCACACTTGCAAAGGTTATGTATACATTTTTTTTTTCCAGAATTATGTTCTAGGTAGAGTATTGATTATATCTGCCGTTGAGTGGTGTGTTGGAGTGCACCATGAAGTAGTTTACTCTATTTTAATCTGGTCAAATTCATTTCAGTATTTGGTATATTGAATGTCAAGTTGTCAACCCGCCTTTTGTAACTCTGTTCAACCTATCAAATAGAATATCATATTATCAGGTTCTTGCAAATGAGAAAATATGAAATTTGATCTATTGGTGCTTGAAACTCCTCCTAGCACCTTAGCTGCACCCTCCTTGGCAGATTCCATGCTAAAAAATAAGTTACTTCAGTATATAATGAAATCATTTGATATTAAGTTGCACTCGGATGCGCCCCTTGAAGATTTTCTAGGAAGGCATGATGAAGAATTTACAGATGATTCATAATTTAAGAATAGAGTTACGCTGCCTTAAGGCCTGGGAAAACTAAAAATTCAAATAAAGTGGACGCCTGGCATTACAGTTACAACTGGTAGGTGGATGGTTATGTGAAGGGAATATCTTTTCTATATAGTGTGTGGCATAGGACTGTAATAAGGTAAAGTTTAATTTTAATTAATTGGAAAAAAAATTATTGTTACTTTTAATAGACTGCAGCCGGTAATGAATTTATTTTTGCTTCAAAGCAGACAAAAGATAAAACTCTGAATTTCATTTTAATTGATGGCACATGGAGCAATTCAGCAGCAATGTTCAGGCGTCTCCAGGTAAATTTAGCAATCATTTTGTTTTGTTTACAAGGATTTCTTGACTGAGTCCTAGCCGAATAGGACCATTATCTTTTTCCTGTTTGTTAGGTACTGAGATAGGATAAAACTTCATGCTACTGTAAGTTCTATAATTGTTGAATGGCAAATGAAAGTTTGTAGTTGGCCAGAGTTTCCAGGAATTTAAAAGTTAGCAGGTTAACTTGAAGAATGTGCAAGCAGAATAGCCGCTTCATTTTATGCTATCCATGCGCAATAATATCCTTTGTATTTAAGAACACATGCATTCCTTTCAAATATGTATTAAATCCAAGATTATTCTTACAGACTGCATTCGAGATCATGTCTGTTAAAATCTGGCTAGGCTTGTACTCATTTGTTATGTAGTTAGTTATCACATATTCGTCCGTTATGCACAAATTGCTACTGCAAAAAATTGTTCAAGAAGCTTTCTTACTATCCTGATTGTAATCTAAAAGCTGTGGAGCGTAGAATTCACACTCCATTGACGAGAGATCTGTTGGATTTGTCAGTGATATAGATCTGATGGTAGAGCCAACGAACCTGATTGTATATCTATTGAAGTGTGGAAATGTTTAGGTGAAGAAGGGGTGAGATGGTTAACCAAGTTATTTAATGTGATCTTACGGTCCAAGAAAATGCCTGATGAGTGAAGGAGAAATACATTAATTCCTATTTATAAAAATAAAAGAGATATTCAGAATTGTACTAACTATAGAGGGATTAAACTCATGAACCACACAATGAAATTGTGGGAGAAAGTAATTGAGCACAGGTTGAGATTGGAGATAAATATTTCTGAGAATCAGTTTGGTTTTATGCCAGGTAAATCAACTACAGAGGCGATTTATCTACTAAAGGGATTAATGGAAAAGTATCATTGTAAAAATAAAGATTTACATATGGTTTTTATTGATTTGGAAAAAGCTTATGACCGTATACCAAGAGAAGTGCTTTGGAAAGCGTTGAAAAAAAAAGGGAGTACGGATTGCTTATATTAAAGCCATACAAGATATGTATGAGGGGGTAAAAACTAGTATAAGAACGCCTAGTGGTCAAACAAAAGATTTTCTTATAAAGATTGGATCACATCAGGGATCATCTCTGAGTCCTTATCTGTTCAACTTGATTTGAAATGTTTTGACGGAACACATTCAATGGTAAATTTTCAAATGTATGCTCTTCGTAGATGATATAGTTCTTATAGCAGAGACAAGAGAAGAGGTTAATTGCAAACTTGAGTTATGGAGGAGGACATTGGAGTCGAAAGGTTTCCGTTTGAGTAGGAGTAAGACGGAATATTTATATTGTAAATTTGGTAAGAGACTATTCGACAATAATTTGGAAGTAAAATTGGGAGATCAAATTATACCTCAAGTGGAAAAGTTTAGATATTTGGGAGCCATTATTCAAAATGATGACGAAATCAGTGGAGATATTTCACATAGGATTCAAGCTGGGTGGTTTAATTGGAAAAAAGCTAAAGGAGTTATTTGCGACCGTAAGGTGCCTAATAAACTTAAAGGAAAGTTTTATTGCACTGCTATCAGACCGGCAATGTTATATAGTAGTGAATGCTGGGCTCTAACGGGACAGCAAAAGTATAAAGTTGGAGTAGCAGAGATGAGAATGTTACGATGGATGTGCGGACATACACGTAAAGATAAAATTCGAAATGAGCACGTACGCGAAAAAGTGAGGGTAGCGCCTATTGAGGAAAAAATGGTAGAAAATCGGTTGAGATGGTTTGGGCATGTACAAAGAAGACCAAGGGAGGCACCAGTGAGAAGAGTGGAACATATAACTTTGAGTCCGATTAAGAGGGGTAGAGGAAGGCTTAAGAGAACACTCTTGGAAGTTGTTGAACGCGATCTCTTAATTAATAATATTCTTAAAAGCTTGATAAATGATAAAGCACAATGGCGTCTTGCAATCCATGTAGCCGACCCCACCTAGGTGGATTAAAGGCTTGTTGTTGTTGTTGTTGTATAGATGTGCTTTTCTAATTGATAGAATGACTTCAAGTTGGATTACCTTTAACCAAGTAGCCCTTTTGATGCTGAAATGTTACGTTGTGAATTTTTATTCTCATCAGGACCGAGCAAAGTCTATATGGGGAGATGACGACCTTCCTTGTATATCCTTGACTCCGGGTGCTTCTTCCATGCATAAACTTCGGTGAGAAAGTGTTAATAATCCCCCCCCCCAAATGTTTCTCTCCTATCTTAGTTATAATCTCTTTACTTATTGTAATTCATGACTATCTAAGGTATTTCAATTCAATTGCAGGCCCCAACCATCCTGGGATCGTACCTGCACTGCAGGTGCTGCTGCTGGCCTTCTCTCTGAGCTTCAATCTCTTCCACAGTTTAACTCTATTGGATTGGATAAACAGGCTGGAGCAGTGGAAGATACTTTAACAGTCCTGTTAGAAGCCCTAACAACGCGTCGCCTTCGCATGGGCAGGTCCATAACCCGGAAAGTAAGACATACCAGTAACATTAGATAAAAGATCTAACCAGGTTTCTCTACCAACTTGGGCAACATGCCCTCTTGCAATTTTGGAAATGAGGAAATTGTTAATCATGTACATGTAGGAACAAGGAAGGGACATGTTGGAAGTGGTGGTTAATGAATGTTATGAATGACAGGAATCTTCCAGTTTTTCCATATCTAAATCTGATACAGGTTTTAAATTGAAGCCTTCAATTTCAGCTCAAAGAATCTCCCACTAAATCTTCCCTACACTTGCCATTCCTTGATAGAACTATACGACTGTGTTATGATATTAGTTACGACCTGCAAAAATCACTTTAAGCGTGTACCATCATTTGCTTCTATTGCGTGCGAAATACAAGTTTGATAAAGCTCTCCAGGATCTGCGTGCTTTGCATTATTACAAGTGAAGCTTCAGTTGTTTGTAGCTTTTTACGGGACAGGGTTGCATGCTTAAATTTATTTTTCGAACTTAATTGTAAGCATAATAGACATTCAAGCGACAAATAACACCAGATGATAACCAATATGGAACCAATGAAATTCAAAGTTCATATGGTCACTGCATCCACATGATAAATTATTCTAGCCAATGTTATGGAAATCTAATTAGCCAAGTCTTGAGTTCAAGATTGAATATTTATTTTTATCAAAGATAGTGATTAAATATATTTAAAAACAGTATTCTACCCTCCTAAACTCAAAAAGGGTAATAGTTAACACCACCCTCTGTTTGTCGAGAAGCGCAAGGCTGGAATGCAGCGTGGGATTTTCAGAGCATTTCCTTTTAAAGTTGAATGGTATATGAAATAATATGGCTTTAAATACTGAATACCTCAAACTTCATAATATAGGTCACAATAATTGGCGACTCATATTAGAAAAAGAAAGTTGATTTAAACTTATCTAATCTAAACTTTTGTATTGATAATTTTAAAAAAACACAAAAATAAAAATAACTGGACATATTTTCTAGCGTATCATATATATATATATATATATATAATATTATTTGACTTATAAGTTGTAAAGTTTATATATCCACAATAATATTGACGAGGCACAAGATGGATCAACCAAAACAAAAGATAACAAGTATTTTATAATTTACAGATATCATATTTGCATGTTCCTTTAGGTGAATGTGAATATCCTGGAAGTTGGAGCCATTAAAGAATGATGGATATTAGAGTCCAATAAGCGGGACGCTTCTAGTTTGATTTGGGGCAAAACAAGAACTAAAATTTGACTGATAACAACCAAATGCTAATATTAAGAGGCAAGGACAGCCATTCAAGTTTTTGGCAGCCTCACGAAAAGCGCTTTCTTTCTTTGATCCTTACCATCACATCAATGCCTTTGAACCTTCAATTCACAGAAAGCCATTTTCTCATTCCTTTGAACCTTCACCCAAAAGGGAGGGGAGAGTGACCCGACTATCCCTTTGCGGATTTCGGCCCCACCCTCGTCGTCCATATTTGAAGCCAACCAACAAAGAGAAAATGGCTTCCGATGCTGCATTCTCTTTCATTCTCTCTTCCTTTCTTTTCATCGCCTTAGCCTCTGCTGCTCCATTTCTTTCGGGTGACTCCATTTTCTAGTGCTTTTTGTCGAACTTGATATCTTTTTCAGTAACTAGTGAGTAATTTTTGTTTGGGCAATTTTTATGTTTACAGAGGATATATTTGAGTCTGGGGCATACACAGGTCGTTCTCTCCTCCAGGCTAAGAAAGGTAATGCCTTTTCATGTTTTTTTCTTTGGGGCTTTCTGTTTCCCTTGAGCTCTTTGTGGTTTGTTGAATTCTAATTTGGTTTACGCTTAGCTTAGATGCAGACAATCGAGATGTAGCAATGTGTTTTGAATATTGACGTTTTTTTCAGGAACCTATAGTGACGTTGTTCTTGCCAAACACAAATCAGTCTGAGCATGCTAGTTCTTATGGAATAGTTTTTAACGTGGCTTGTTGTTCCGATATCGTTTCCGCTTCTTCTGATTGAATATTACTTTTCATCACAATGTAGGATCTTTTTCTTTTCTTCTTCTTCTTCTGGAATATTGCAGGAAGCAACATTCTATGATGTCAATTTTGCTTCAGTTACAGCGAAAGCATTTCTCTGTTTTTTTCTTCATTCAAGCTCTTATTGATTTTCTAAATTTAGACATGCTGCTTCGATATTTTGTGTGTATGAGCCTGAAGCATGTAGGTTGAAATCCAACGTAAAGGGAAGAACTAGAACAGTTTGGTGATGAGAACACGTATGGCAAAAACAACAAGCAATCTGTGGTTTGACGCATTGTTGTTACAGTTTAATTTACATTAGAACAACAGCCCGAAGAGGTATATTAGTTTAGGTGTTTAGGTCACAGGGGTTTTTCCAAAGCGAGCGTAAACTCTCCTGGACACCCCTGCAATACCAAAAACAAAAGACGACATATAGTTTGAAGTTTACTTGCAAGTCAAGCATAGCACTTGAATGACCACTCGCACTTTTCTCTTGAGACATTTTCTAATAAATGAGCTATCCCATGATGATACACCGTGGTCTTGCAGCTTGTACCGTGGACTTTCAAAACCAGAACTACACAATCCTTACAAGTCAATGCAAGGGACCTCTGTATCCACCCACTGTTTGCTGCAATGCTTTCAAGCAATTTGCCTGCCCTTTCGCGGATCAGATAAGCGACATGACGACAGATTGTGCTACAGTGATGTTCAGTTACATAAACATCTATGGAAAATACCCTCCTGGCCTCTTTGCTAACGAGTGCAAAGAAGGCAACGAAGGTCTTGATTGTCGATCAGTTGATGCAGCCAGTCCTACTCCTTCTAGCAATGGTAGTAACTTGGTTGCTCCTAAGCACTCTCTGTTGCTTATGCTCGCTTCTTGTTTCATGGCCATGTTCTTCCTCTTCCACTTGGTCTGAATATGAATGGCTGAAATGGAAAAATAACCCCTGTACTACTACTTATTGATGCCATTTTTTCTTGTACAAGTCTCATTGCAAAGGCAAGTTTCTTTGTTGCTGGGGTTGATGTTTTCAAATCAAGATTGCTTGGAATAGTATATTACAATATAGTTTATGCTTTGTTGAATTGATTCTTGGAGAAATTAGATCATACCAATTACAAATAGATATGTAAACATATTAGACATATTTTTAAGTAAATTTGATATTCTTAGATGTTTATTTTGAAAACAGGTAGTCATATTGAAGAGTTAAACTCTAAGGTATATTTATTCATTCATTATAGAATCTTCATTAGTATTAGCATTTAGCAGAGAAACAGGGTTTTCCCCCCCCCCCCCCCCTTTTCCTTGACCCCAAAAACTGAGAAACAGAGTTTGAAACTATCAGAAATCATGATCCAGGTACGGACTTGTCAATGGCTGATGTAGCATGGACGACTCAAAAGAAAGCAAATCGAATGGCATTTTGGTTAAATCTTCCTGGTATCGTCATTAACCACTTCCGGTTTGACCGGAACACTCGGGTATTCTCCCATAGGATAAGTATGAAAAAAGGAAGTTATTGGAAGATTGGATAAAATTGTCCACTTGTTCTGCAAAATAGATAAATTAATAATTCAACATGCATGCATCATTAATTATTCCTTTTAATTAATGAACTGAAGCGTTCAAATTTAAATTCTGAAGCAAAAATGTCCACCCTTGGGTGCTCTACTAGAAAATGAAGTCACCGAAGATTATTGAAACCTGCATGTACCGTTATTTCATAAAAATGCACATTGCTTGATAGAGGAAAATTCCTGGACCACCTTCACCGTGATCATCTGGCCTACAAGTTTTCTTTCGTCACTGAACTTTGTCAAAAAAAAAAAAAATCAATCAAGTGGTTTATTTCGTCATATAATAAAAAAAGAAATAATAAAACTTTTAATCTCTTAATTTTATCTCAATTATTGATTTAGTCATTTAAGTTTAATTTTTATCAGTTTGCTCCCTTGATTTTGTTTGCTCCAATTATTAATTTGACCTTTTATTGTTTAAAGAAGAAGTAATGCTATTAAAATATGCTGACATGGATAACGATATGCTGATGATAACTATGTAAATTAATAAAAAAGAATATAATTTTTTAGGTGAGAAAAAATAGACTCAAATTTTTAAAAATAAAAGAACAAAATGCAATGTAACGGATTAGAATTAATCTGCAGCTAAAGTGTTCATATTTAGCTACACATATATATATCAAGTCATTAATATACTTTACATGTCAAATTAATTTAAAAGTTAATTTATGTTATAAAACTTAAAAAAATAATATGATAATTTAGAAAATTGTAAGTGATCAAATTTATAAATATTAAACTCAAAAAGAAAATAAATAACTGAAACAAATTTAAAATATTTAAGAGTTTTAGTATGCAAGCCAAGAAAAGAAGCTTCACATGTCTTGGTCCAGAAAACATGAACAAGTCTGTTCCTTGTTGCATACTAGAAGGAAGATTCACGTGCCGTGACACGAGCGAAACAAAACAAGCCAGTCGTGTGAGGCGTACAATCACGTACCTTTATTTCTGCAAGTTTCATGGCTTGATTTCATCCAATTGGACAAAGCCTCACTAAGTTGATGTTAAGAGTCAAATATTAGAGTCTATGAATAGTGGGGGCTACAAGGAAGTTCCCGTGTTGGATTGATTATATTTGGGAAAACCAGATTGTGTGTAAGAAAAGGAACAGAAAACAGAAAGCGAATTAAGGAGAGGGAGGGGAAGACAGAATTAAAATGGAAGAAAGTTTGGTTCTGTTCATTATTGTTGTGAACTTTGTGATGATTCCCAATTCAATCAAATACCCTGCAAGTGGACAATTCGCACTTTGGAAGGTGAATACGTGAGACACAGTCTCCTCACAAAATAAAGTGCTCTTGGATTTTTTTTTTTTTTTTCAGAATCAACGACCGAAAGCTTTTAACATTATTCAATCTCACCCGGGGCATGCGTGGGATTCATTGGACCGTTTCACCCTAATTCAGAAATTTGTCTTTGCTTTACTTTTTGACCAATGTGATATTTGTTATTATCCTTTCATCCAAATTCAAGTATTATTAATCCTCTTATTTTATTTATAAATTATTTTTAATATATTTTATTAAAATTAAAAAAAATTTAAAATTTACTAATTCTATTTAAAAATTTAAGAAGTTTTTAATTTTATCTCTATTAAATATATATATTCTAACAAAATATTTTACCTCTCCAATATTTAATGGAAAAAAAATAGATAATTTGTAATGATAATTTAATGATGTAATTTATAAATAGGATAAAAAAATTTTATTTTTGCCCTATAAATAGGATTAGATAGAGTAAATATCTTAAGAGTGTGTTTGAATTTTAATTGGGTATAATTAATTATGAAAAAAATTAATTGACATATTAGATTATAATTATAATTAATTATATTATAACGTGATCGTGTTTGAATAATATTTTTTAAAATTGATCTTGATGAAATTGAATATGTTTGAATGATTTAATCAAAATTAATTTTAGAAAACAAATTACCATAAAAGACATTATTTTTTTAAAATACAAATATTAATAAATTTATATATAATATTTTTTAATTTGTTGAACTCTATTCGATAAATAAAACATGTATAATAGTAGTCCATTTAATATTTATATCTATACTTGATTAATTATAAAAATTAAATTATTTTATTTCATGATATTAATAATTTAATGTAAGTAAAAAATAGCAACAATAACTATCTAAGTTCACTATAGCACAATAGAAATGCTTAATCATCTTTTTGAAATTTGAAGGAACCAAAAACGCAATATCTGGTCGACTTTCTGAAAGCATTCTATCAAAATATTGATGTTATGTTTGAAGACTGGAGTACGATGCCCCGCAGGAGTGAAGATACATTGAGGCTCAAAGGGTATTGAAACTCACTGGAGGGTATATTTGGCAACTAAAAAATTTCTGACAAGAAATAAATGAGCACGATAAAATCGAATATGATAAGCTACTTTCTCTGGGTTAAAGCAAAACGTGATTCTGACATAAATAATCGATTATTCAAAAAAGGTGCTGGATAATTTTTATCAAAACCATAATTTTGATTTATATAATTGATTATGGACCTTATGCAAACGGGCACTTAACTTGTTTTTTTACCTCTTAAGAAATCCTAATTCTTGATCTTATTTGAAAAGTTTCAGGTTATTTTCACATGTTTTTAATTGTCATGGGCCATGCCAATATACTCCAAAATTGCCCTTTGCGAAGTAAATTTAAAAATTTATTTTATTTTTAGATAATCTTAATAATTTAAGTTAGAAGTACTAAATCTTGATGTCATGTTGCACAACAAAAGAGAGGACAATACCCTGAAAGCAGGGGAGATGCTTGGTTAGATAAAGATTGTTGGGTCTCAAATGCAAATGAATTTGGTCTTCAGATTCCTTTCCTGCGTCCTTCTCACGAAAAAGCATTGCATGATCACCAAGTTAATTCATTAGCCAACGATAATTGCCTCCTCCCCACGCTATCCTTCATTTCCCACGTGTTTCTTTATTAAAAAAAAAATTGTGAACCCACTTGCATTTCTATTTTCAACGGAGTTCAAAATGAGCAATACAAACTAAAGTATTGCAAACAGTACTGGTTCAAAAATTAATTACCAAAATATGGTCATTTTTTTCTGGAATCAGATGCGCCACAGTTAATCTGGAAGAACGCGAGAGATGGTACCGTGGGGAGGGAAAACGGAAAATCTTGAGCCAGGAGCTTGCACATTACATCACACCGAATATTCCTTTGAACCCCACAGAATATTACCCACAGATGAAACTCCCTCTCTAATTGACCTGCAATCTGAATATCCTACCACTATATTATTCCCTCCAATGTTAATTCCCAAACTATAACACATCTCCTTGGCGTAAAATTAAATTAAAACTGCGACGTATCTCCATCATTCGTTCCCCCGGGTCCAAAAAAAATAACAGCGAAATTTCATATCCATAATTGTATAACCTTCAATATTCGCTATTCCATTTGTCACATCCAAATTCGGAGCTTCTTATGGGCCTAAGTGTAGTGCAGCCTGGAAGTCGCAATCAACAGCTTCTGGGTAACCGTTAGCTAGCTTAGCTACCCAGACTCATGTAACATACCTCTCCTTTGAACGCAAAACAATAACTTTAATAAATAGAATTTTTCCACCTTAAAGATTGAGTTTGAAATCAAGGAAGAGAGGAGAAAATCTATGCTTTAGTAAGGAAAATTTTCATTTCATATGAGAAACGAGGAGTCACAAGTTCGTCAGAAGAATGCCACCACACCATAACCCGTCATGATACAGTTTCTCTGCTTCGCTAATCTTACTGATAATAATAATCCCACGGGAAAAATACAAGTAAAAGGCTGAAATCTTTCCCCTGGATCAATTTCCCAGACACCCCATGACCCAGAAGATCAAGTGCGAGGAGGAGGAAAAGAAAAATCAAGAACAAGCCTTGCGCTGAAACAACGCTTCATTCATCTGTGGGCAGTCACCAATGTCTCAATGAATCGCAAACCGTCAAATCTCGGCGCAAATTTGTCTGCAGAGGACGAACTCGCCGATGATGAGTTCTCTTGGTTCCTCTGAACCGTCGCATCCTACAACGAGAGGAAGAAGAAGAAATCGCAGATCAATGAAAAGATCCATCAAAGATATGTCAGATCGCAATGTTCTGAACCTCAATTTTAACCAAGATAGGGTGAAATTTTCGGGGAAAGAAAATCAAAACCCTTCGCCGAGTTCAATACCTGATGCAGAGTCTGCAGAGAAGCGGAGGAAGAGGGTGATGAAACAGAGACTGCTGTGGCGGAAGCAGCTGCCACGTAGGCTGCAAGGAGTCCAGATTTCTTCATCTTTGGTCTCTGAGAGGAAGAGGAAGGTTGCAATTGGAGGAGTTTGACTGAGTATGGAGCCTTTATTCTAATTTTCTCTCGCAAGAAACGATGAGAAAGAGAAGGAAAATCTAGGAGCAAGCACGAGAGAGTTTTGGGGCTTTGACGGCATATAAAAAGTTGGAGGCGCCTATGATTTATTGCGAGGAGTTAAAAACATTAAATTAAATTGTCAAATAATTACGCGGCAACCATTCTTTGTTTGCCAACCAAATTTACGACTTTGTCCTTCTTCGAATTTCCTTTTTTTTTTTCCCTCCTGCAAAACTACCTTTCCAATTTCCTACCAGATTCCTTTGATCCGGACATTATTATTATGGATTGATGCAAATAGCTATTATGGGTTGAAAATAAGTGTCGGTAAAAGAAAAGAAAAGGAAGACTTTTATTCTGATTTTCACATACGTCGAATTTTTAAAATCACATGCATTTCAACATTAAATTCTATACTAATATAGATGTTCTGAAAATCAAATGTATGATTCAAGAATAATAACAATTCAAATAAATTCATTAAATTAATTCATTAATTTATATATATATATATATATATATAAGAGCAATAGTTGCATCAAAGGGAGTGAGGTAATTACTAACTAATAATCTAGATTAAATTTTTATCACCAATCCCGGACTTCATTAACAAAAGTTAATATGAGAAAAGCCATGTCAAATTCATTGACCAAAAAAAGAATAATATGTAATTTGTGCAACCAAATGTATATACAATATGCATGGGATAATTTCTTAAGTGGTTTGTTCCATTTTTTCCTTACAATTATTTGATATTTAATACTATCGGGTCTAGGTTAAATATTGCTAAGTCTAATTGATCAGGCATTTTTTTTCCCTATTTGCATAGTTCAAACCCTCAAACAGAATCTGGGGGATGGAATTTTTTGCACTCTACCTAATTAGGATTGATGGGTTGTCCAAAATCATAAAACCAACAAGTAAGTGAGGGAAAAAAGAAAAGTATAAAAGAAAATAAAATATGAGATTCACCGTATTTTTCTCTCAAATTTTCTCTCCACTGTGGAAAGATTTTGAAATGACAACTTAAGTTTCACACAATGCCCTCCCATGATCCCTCCCTCCCTCCCTCCCTCCCCCTTATGCATCTTCTCCACCAGCAACTATTGGATCTTCTATTGGCATATCATATAAAAAATTGTTTTGAGTTGTGCTCAGAGGTATTATCTTGAAGAGCCATTTTAGCACAGTTGTTAGAGCTCTAAAGATTAAGCGAAACCTCTAATAAAATGAATAGGATAACAAAACAACAAAAATATGGAATAGCCCATGAGAAGGGGAGAATGCCTGAAACTTCGGAATGGTGACAACCTACAACGTGATATACACTACCTTGGCAAAAGCTGATGAACATTATGCAATTGTAAAATTGATTAACGATACTTTAATGCAATTTAAAAACAGTTTCAAAAATAATAGTGTTTAATTCATAATTTAAAAAATAAATAGATTTAAATGATAATTAATATTATTAATAAAATCAAAATTTATTTGTGAAATAACATTAAATAATTAAAATATGAAACAATCCTCCGCATATTTTTTAAAATAATTAATTAATATTTTTGGAAACTGTTTAAAATATCCAACATCTTTGTGCCTCTCCTTGTATCCATCTTCAATCTTCCTCTGCCCTGTGTTCACGGTTTTGTGACAAACAAAATCATTTTCTTTTTTATAATATTCCATAATCATATTTTTTAAAAGTCAACTTTGATTTGTTCAATAGAAAAATAATATTCAAATTATTTGGTTTTAAAATATAATAACACGAAAAAGTGTTTTTACCAAATAATTCAATTTTACGTGAAATGTGGTGTATTCTAACATGAGTATATTATAGTTATTATGCAATTTGATCATTTTTTTTTCTCGCAATTGTCTCCTATCGAGCTGAATAGGAAGTTAATCTCTCACTTCCATTCATTTAATTGCTGAGGGATTGTATTTGGACGAGTCCCTGATTTAATTTGAATTATCTCCCAGTCCTTTCCCCTCTTTTATTTCACTTCATCCATACATATCAAGTCCTTACGGAACAAGCAATGCACAGACAACGTGTCTCCTTCCTAACCATTCAATCCCTTGATACCATACTTTTCAAAAATCTATTAGATACTTGGGGTGACGCCGATTATAAACTGGACCGTGAACAAGTAATTATCACCAGTCATTCGGTAATTACAGTTTTCATACATTGCGTGTCCTCCCTAATCATTCAAAACCGATTGAGCTCAATTTCTCTGCACCTTTCTTGGGATAAAATCTGCCCACAACATTCACCGTACTTCAGGAAATTATTATTTTATTAGTAAAATAAAATATAGAAGGACGAACGTGAATGGGAGCGAAATGGTGATACAGAGAGAAATAAAGGGTCATATGTGGAAAACAGAAGATTTCTTCTAGAACTGTTTTGTTGCTTCGAGGAGGGTAATTTGGTAACAGCATTGCGTTTAGTTTGAGGCTCTCCGCCGCTCGTCGGCATAGATTTTTTAGAAGATGCCCCCGCTGGAAATATTGTTCCGCGAAGTGACCAATCAGGAGAGAACACGTGGGTGGAAGCGAAGAAACCTACGAGGCACCACCGTCGTCACAAGCCAGCATTTCCTTGGAACGCAAGTCCTTGTTGATTTTACCATATTACCCTCCTTCGATTTATCATAATTGATCCATTGCCAACCAATCCAAGTTTCTAGATGATCACCACGTGATTATTCTAGCCATCAGCCTCATTTAATTTAAATTAATTCAAAATGTCAATCGGTCCAGTTGTCATTTGGGCTTTTGTAGTTTTGCGTCTGCTTATAATTTTTTTACAAAATATTTACATGTCCTTACAATTCTATTCAAATTTAAATTAGATTATTACATTTTATTTTATTTTAATTATGTCCTTAAATTTTGATTAATTAAATTTTTTAATCTCTAAAAATTAAAATCATTAAATTTTTTAAAAACAAAATTAAGAACTTTTATATTTTTATTAAACTATTGTATGACTTTAAAACTAATGTATATTCCTCTTATTTAAAAATGTAAGTCAATTTTAATAGAATAATACCTTCAATAAATTTGCTACTTATCTTTAGACTAATACTATCTTTTCATATTTACTCTTATTTGTATTTCACTCTAAAATAAATATAAAGTAATTTATTCATAAAGATACCTTTAAAAAATGCAATAATTACATCATGAAACAGTAAAAATGTTTTATATTTTTAATAGAAGGAGTAAATTTTATAGCTCAAAATTTATATAATTATATTTTTTAAATATTTTTATGCACATAATTCTGATAAAAATTAATAAAAATATAAATAATGTTTAAATCAATTTTTTTGAGTTTGGCTAAAAGTATTAAGTTTAATTTTTTGTAAATTTCAAGAGTATTTTTGCTTTGTAAAATTTAATAATTTATTATTAATTTTAATCCTAAGGGGTTAACATATATAATAGATCAAATTATAATTTAAAAAATAAATCAAACTATAAAAATTTGATTAAAACAAAATAAATCGTCAAAATTTAATTTAAAATTTAGCAAAACTGTAAGAACCTGTTAACATATTTTCCTTATGATTGACCCATTGTGGTTTCAATAATGTGCCAGCGCGCACGCTTTAAAGATATATTCATACTAGTATTTATAACGAGTTATTGGAAGAAAAAAAAAATCGCCAGTGCGAAAAAGTGATGATATAAACAGTACTACAAATTATACAATTTGCGTATTTATTATTATTTTAATAAAAAAATTATGCATAAGAAGGGGGCCATATGAAATAAAATCCTTTTTAACTTAGTGTATAATAAAATCATACAGACGCACACATATTTTCTAGGCGGAAGCATGCCAATTAGCAATTACTCCCTCCATTTCATTATATTTATTTAAAAAAATTTCTTTTATATTATATTTTTTTTAATTTTAAAGAAATATTCAATGACATTTTTCCTGTTTTTTACCCCTATAAAATTTAATTTTTATCATTATAATTTTTTTTGGAGGCAATAAATTGGAAATAAATTTGATAAACTATATCATATTTTTCATATATTTATTATTTTTTATGAGATTTTGTATATTTATTAGTATATTTTCTAATACGTGTGCAATAACAATGAAGGACAAGTATAACCAAATATAACAAATATTCCTTTTTAGTCTTATTTATAAGGTGTTTAATAATTTTTTTATATTTTAAGAAAGTTATTATAATGATTTATTGTAACTACACTCTTATTAATTAAAAGAGGATGGTGTCTGTTTTATTATTATCATTATGGTTATTATTATCATTATTTTTTTATTAAAAAAATATAAAATATTTTTAATTGAATCTCATATCTCAATAAAATATTATCTTTCTATACTTAAATCCATAAAAAATAGAGGAGACAAAAACTACATTTCACATTTTTTACAAACAAAATTTAAAAAAAAAAAATACAAGGAAGTTGCGAAATTGGGGGCACCCCTTCCCTGTTCCCTCTGCATCTGTCACTGTCTGAAGTATCAGGCAAAGATGTAATACTGGTTAATTTTTTTCAATATTATCCCTCCATAATTACATCAAACAGTAACTCATGGACAATATTGTGATTATTATTATTTTCGGTGAAAGACAAAATTAAAAAGTCAAATATTTTTATAAGCTTAAAGATTGATTAACATTTTCTAGAAACAGTGAAGATAAATATAGCTTTGTTATATGCTAGGTAGTACACATTGTCATCGTTTGAATTGAAGTTTTAAATTTTCCATCCGTATGACACTTAACGGATTTTTATCAAAAAAATCCAATGAAGTAATTGAAGAAGAGTAAGAAGGGAAGGGCCCAAGGGCTTGTGGCCATGTGTGCGCGTCAGTCTGAAGAGGGGAAGGACAAAAAAATTGTGGTGGAGAAACATTGGAAGAAAACACGTGGCAAGCACTTGAATGCAAGTTGAACGATGAACGGCTGAAATAGGATGGCCCTCGGCCTCGCAAAGAAAGCAACTTGAATTTGAAGAGGTGGTCGTGTTTAGTGCTAATGGAAGCGCGCGGGCCCAACTTTACAAAAGTACCCTTGTATTAT